ATTATGTCGAACTGTGAATTCTGAATTTTTACAATAGCATCTCAGTGCACTTTTAACAGGCAGATTAAGCTGCCAACAGACTTTCACTGAGACTATATTTGATTTATGATGTAGGCACAACAGAAGACTTACACAGAGAGAGTGTATGTGTGTTCCCTCTGGCAGGAACAGAGGATTGTCTTCCTTGCGTTGCAAGCAACAAAGCTGATTATTTTTCTCTGCGTTGATCCAAATTAGGTATATGTGCCTTAGCTAGCACAAAACGGATTTGTTTTTTTACCAAGAACGTGTAATATACTTCTGAGGCATATCATAATATACTTCTGAGGCATATCATGCTTTCAGAATTAGGCTAGAGTAGGCTACTTCAGCATGACAGTACTTGTACAAGAACCATCTGGCAAAGAAACGAAAAACGAAGTGAATCTAATGTCCACTGGGAACTCGTTTTCACAGAACTGAAACTATTATGAACAGGACAGAAGAATCAATGGAAAGCTACCCATGAGTGACCTCTCTGGAAGCAGATATCACATTATATGTGTCACGGGTCGCAAGGGGCGAAAACTCAAGTGCAGGCAGATGGGGTCTTTATTTATAATTCACAAAAATAAACACAACTGAAACCACCTCGAGTGAGGGAAAAAACCAGAGTAACATCAACGCACACTACGAGACAAAAACTGAGCAACCCCGACTCCTATGTGAAAACAAACGAGCCCAGAACAGAAAACACAGGGAGCTTATAAGGGAGAGGTAATCAGGTAAAACAGCTGGGACAAATTAATCAATAATAAGGTAATGAGAGAACAGGTGAGTGGAGTGCAGGTAACGGAGGCCGGGAGGATGTGAAATGGCGACCTCTGGTGGTGAGGGAGAAACACCAGACACCAGACCCTGACAATATGCCTTTGAAATGTATTGATTGATTTTTATTGAGAGAAAACTACATTCGATTTGTGAGAATATATTATTTGCTATATTTGATTTATGTTATTCAAGTGTGACAAATTTTCATAAAAGATTAATTTTCTAAGATGGTGTCAAAAGCATGTCAAAACACATCACAGATCAAAAAGGCATTGTACTGTTCCAATTGTGTATTTTTAATTGAAAAATTATTTAATAATAGTTAATAATAGTTCGAAGGACCCTCCCCCTCGCTGCCAAAGGGCCATTTATTTATTTAATTAATTATTTGTAATAATCAAGCGTCCTTTTAAATAACGACAGCCATTTATTCGAATTTTTTGAGAGATTTTTTAATTTGCCGGACAACTAACCTGATTAAAAACATCTAAATAGGGAAGCACCGAAATTTCGGCGAGAATGATTCTTCTGGTTTTATTATATTTGGTGTGCGGCGATTGGTAATGTATTGACAGTAACAAGGTTGCTCCAGTTGAGGCTCGCGCAGCCTGTCAGTTTGAGAGAATCTTGTGGAGAAATAATTTTTTTTTTTTAAACTTTATATTTATAAAACTACGAGTAATAATATTAAGTGCTCTATGTGCAATCTAGACACAATATTCTCTCTAGAACAGTCGCGCATCTCGGAGCAACACACGTTACTAAATGTTTCAGTGTTTTTTAATGAATTGGGCAAGTCAATGGTTCAATAACCCATTCATAAAGACAGGCACTTACCTCATTCTTGAATGAATCAGCCGTCTGAACGAATCCTTCGAATGAATTAGGCTACTCATTGACGTATTACTCATTACTCAAGACAGTCACTTGCTGCCACCTACTGGCGGTTTATTTTCATATTTAAAAATAGCTTGTATTTTTTTCTCCAAGATTACATATTGGTATATTAAATAAAACCATTTAAAACACATAACATTATTTGTGCAGTTGTAATTTTTCAGTGTAAATGCATTCATGCAACATTTCAGCATCATTAAACTGTCTCTAAATTCCATTGACTTCAGCTGCTTTGTTTCTTCTGCAGTGCAAAGATTGATTTTGTTGATACTGATTTCATTTGATTGGTAACAGCCCTATAGTATCTTATATTAACTGAAATTATTAATAAAATGTAAGAATTTGATATGAAAGATGACACATACATTTAATAAGGTTAGGGCTTAGGTTAGGTTTATATAGGCAAAAAATGACCTGAAAATCAGTTTAAGTAAAATTTAGTATGCAGTCCTTTTTAATCATATAAAAAGTAATCTCCCAGCAACAAAATTGTGGTCAGTGAAAATTCTAAGTGGCTAGTAATTTTGGAAAACCACTAGCCACAGTGGCTGGTGAGCAAAAAAAGTTAATGTGTCTGAAAAAGAGTGCGGCCACACCCCGTGAACAGTAGAGGTCGCTGCTGCTCTCTGGACATATTTGATGAGGAGCGCACAGGTAGACTGAGGCTCTACCCTTCCTTTAAACGTAATCCATATACAACAGATCAGCCTCCTCTCCGACTACTTTTTGTGTTGGGATAAAAAAAAAACTAAGCAGGAAATGTATTTGTTTCGGTTCGTACAACAGTTGGAAAACGTATAATGTGGCCGAGGAAAGAGATGTAAAGTGCGGTGTTCATCCACTTGTTGATTGAGTAAGACTCGCGGTTAGCTGGCTAGCTCTACCGGCACACGCACTTATAACACAAGATTGGACGAATGTAACCTTCAGTATGAGCACAGCGAAACCTTTATGACTAACTGTTAATCTGTAATTCGGATTTACGACTCGAATCCGGGCGGTTGCGTTATCGACAGTCAGTCAGTGAGCGTTTGTTATTGTTAATTAGGGAACAATTGATGGCGAGACAAACTTAAACGGAATCCTTTAGCTAATGCTAACATAATGAAAGGGATTAACGTTAGATAAACCATAAACAAACAAGACTATATATTTCGGTCCATCGCGGTTTGGTTCAAGAATTGAAACAAAACTATTTACGTTTGCAAGTTGGTTTTGTAAATGTACTCTCCTCCACTTTATTACTAAACAGTGGATTTAAATGATGGACAGCGCCTCGTCCAGAGGAGAAAACAAGGCAACAAAGTATCCAAGAGATGTTCACGTGGAATAGCATCAACAGCTGCTCTTAATGTAGAAGACTATGTAGGATTTTGACTTTTGGAATCAATTTTTTATAACACAAAAGACTACCATTCTGTTATTTGAGAGACAGGTTGTGTATGCAATGGACACGATCAACCAATATCCTGTAACGTTAGACTCTGGCTTTCCTGAAGGAGATCACAGGATGTTTTACAGTTCGGACAGATCTGGGAGTTTTGATGAACATCATGGTAATGGTGAGGGATGGAAAGCGGTGGATGTGACCCTTACTGGGGGCGCACCATGGGGTTTTACCCTGAGAGGTGGACTGGAGCAGGGAGAACCTCTTCTTATAACCAAGGTAAGTTATCTGTCGACTTCATGCAGGACAGGGTGACCTCAGGGCCGTTTATTTAACCTGGACATTATTGTTAGAGAAAGACCTCATTGTAACAATTTTTGTAACTGTTAAAACATCAGACTTTTGAGACTAGATGTTGTAAAGCCCGAT